GCTGGGGTGGGCAGTTGTCGCCCACGCCATTGGTGGAAAGGTTGAATGAGGCGTGGCCAAACGCTCTCTTGTAGCCCTCCCACCAATCACGCTGGCAACAACCTCCCGCCCCCAGCAACGTGCCCATTGCCTTTTAACGCTCATCACAGCACCTTCAGCTCCATAAAAGAACAGAAGTGCACGTGACAAAACGCTGGTCCAGCCTGAAGGAAGAGGACATAATGGCTGGAGGCGGGCGGTTGTCTCCAACGTCATTGGTGGAGAGGCTGCGAGGGTGTTTGGCCACACCCCAACCAGCCCTTTCACCAGTTACGTTGGCGACAACCACCCCTCCCCAGCCATCCTGCCCACTGCCTTTGATAGCGCAACGCAAGCATTCCTTCTCCCTCTAAAAGTGAACCCGGACGGGGTAGTGCGTTGACCGCCCCAACTCGCATGACTCATATTAAATAACGAGAACAATAATAGATATAAATTAGGAATACGTGTGGGTGATACACATAAACGAGAAAAGCTAAAGTGATCAGATAAACGTGACGAGTAAAAAGTTATATAACTGTCAATCCACGATGGATATATCTAAACTTTGGGAACATTTCATTAGAAATCTTTGAAAAAAAATCTGTTCAAGAATGTTCCCAGTGTTTAGATGTGGATTTCAGCTCAAGACACCAAGAAGGACCAGCAAATGTTTTGTACACGCATCAGAATAACTGCGGGAAGGGGGGGGGAGCTCTTGATAGACACCTAACTACACTAAACTACATACAAAGCGCACAAAACCGACGATGAAGCTGAAGATGTTCTGTAAGCTAAACCACCGTATGTACATATACTTCTTCTGGGCCACTACAACTACCCAACATGAGTTCCGAAACACACTTTGAGGATCGATCTGGGAGGAAAAAAAGAGACTATGCAGCTTCGGAACTCATGCTTTTGAAAACGATTGCACGCAACAACTCAAAAGCTATATATACAGTATTAGCTCGAACCGGTGTGGATGGATGGTGGACGAATATAATGTACAAGAGAAGAGGTGCAACCCGGCTGAGGCGTACCCGCTAAAACGCGAGAGTGAGTGTGCGAGATTTGATAGCGTAGTGGTCTATAATAGTGACGACGACAACGACGACGACGACGAATGTATAAACAAACTAGCAGCTAAAACGCTACATAGAGAAAGGAGGGACGTCAACGGCGTCATCACACGTTAACTTCAGTTTCACGGTGTTGCTGAGCGAGTAGATCGGATAGTGATTCCTAAACATACAACAATCATGAAAATATAAACATAATTAGAGGGGGGAGGGCAGTTCACGACATCCGATTCGCGGCACCGCGCGCAACTTGGCTAGGACGCTATATCACTAGGATACCGTTAGGCAATCCTAGCCTCGACTGTATGTTGGGGATAATGGCGTTCCATTACAAATTTACAGCAGCTAAGTGACTCTCCAGGAGAGAAAAATGTCAAAATCATGGAGAACACCCTAGGTAAGGACCTGTCAGCTTCTCTGGACGATAGCCTTTGAATTTGGTGGGCGGGGCAACTAGGGAGGCATCAGAACTGCCAC